AAAAGAACCCCAAATGCACAAGAAGTAACATCAAGAATCCACAGAAGAGGGGGCTGGGGATTTAGCTCAGCGGCACATTGCCAGCCTGGCAAGCACGAGGTTGTGAGTTCAATTCCTGGTACCAGAAAACAAACAAACAAACAAAAATTTAAAACTCAACAGAATGGATTACATCAAATTTAAAAGCTTCTGTAAAGCAAAGGAAACAAGAGAGTGAAAAGCCAACCTACAGAGTGGGAAAAAAATTTGCAGCTACTCCTCAGAGAACTAATATCTAGAATATATAAAGAACTCAAAAAAATTAGATTCCCCCCCCAAAAAGACACAGTCAAAAAGTGGGCAACTGAAATGAATAGACAGTTCTCGGAAGAAGTACAAAATAACCAATAAAGTAAAATGGATGAAAAATTGTTCAACATCTCTGGCCAGTAGAGAAATGCAAATCAAAACAACACTGAGATTCAGTTCCCAGTACCGGAGAAAAACCAAAAAAAAAAAAAAAAAACAACACTGAGAGTCCATTTTACTCCAGAGAGAATGGCCATCGTCAAAAACCAAGTAATAACAAATGCTGGCAAGGTTGTGAGGAAAAAGAAACACTTCTACATTATTGGTGGGAATGTAAATTAGTACAAACACTATGCAAATCTGTGTGGAGAGTCTTCAGAAACTAACAATAGATACTCCATTTGACCCAGCTATCCTTTCCTAGCTATCTTCCCAGAAGGGTTAAAAACATCACATTTCAATGACACATGCATACCCATGTTTATAGCAGCACAACTCATCAAAGTTAAATCTTGGAAGCAGGGCGTGGCGGTGCACCCCTGTAATCCCAGCACTCGGGAGGCTGAGGCAGAAGGATTGTTAGGAGTTCGAGACCAGCTTGGGCTGCAAAGTGAGCTCAAGGCCAGCCTGAACTGCATAGAGAGACCCTATCTCAAAAAGACAAACAAAAAAGTTAAATCTTGGTAGCAGCCTATATCTCCATCAACAGATGAATGAATACAGAAAATACATTCCTACACAATGGAGTACTAGTCTGCCACAAAGAAGGATAAATTTGAGTCATTTGTAGGGAAATGGAAGCACCTTGAGGCTATAATATTAAGTGCAATAAATCAAACATGGGGTTAAATATTGCATTTTTTCTCTTATATGAAAAAGCCAATGTATAAACCCATAGTATAAATGAAAGAACAAACTAAAAGACACATAGTGGGTAACAGGGAGATTGACCTTTTAAATGAGAAGAGGACCAAGCAATGGAGAGAAGGGAAGGAAATGTAAAAGGAATTAAGATGCATTACATGTATGTACCAACTCATGATAAATACTCTCATTGTGCACTGTAAACGTGAACTAATAAAACAAAAATTTAAAAAATAGTCTAGGTCCTGCAGAGAAATGCACATTTTAAAGGATAATCACAGTCTTACTAGAGATCTAGTTTTGCTGTTTTGCTTGTGCAGTTCATTTTGGGTTTTCTTTGTTTTGTTTTTTTGGTCTTTCTGAGACAGGGTCTCGCTACTCAGTTCAGGCTGGCCTTGAGCTCACTTTGTAGCCCAGGCTGGTCTCGAACTCCCACTGATCCTCCTGCCTCAGCCTCCTGAGTGCTGAGATTATAGGCATGCACCACCCCCCACCCCACTGTTCAGTTCATTTTGGATGTATTTTCAAGATTAAAATTCTTAAGGAATGGGAGCAAATTAATCAAACCCTATTACTAATCACTAGTCTAAAACTTCTTTTTAAAATCTTCTTTGTGTTTCAAATGTTGTATGGCACTGAGGGTGTTTTAAAAGTTAGAACACGGCCAGGTGAAGTGGCACATGTCTCCTGTAATCCTAGCACTCGGGAGGCAGAGGCAGGAGGATTGCCAAGAATTAAGGTCAGCCAGGCCTATGTAGCAAGTTCAAGGCCAGACTGAACTCAAGAGCGAGACCCTGTCTCAAAAAACAAAAACAAATAATTTATAACACATACATCATTTTAAAAAGCTTTAAATGACACAAAAAGTAATGGAAGATCTGAGCAAAGAGGACTTATTTTTCTTTCCTCCAGGTTACAAAGTTGGTAAAAAAAAAAAACAAAAAAAACAACATGATAACTCAGTTGCTTTCTACCATTATGAAAGTTACCAGTTTTTGCTTAAAATTATATAGCTCCTCTTTTCCTGTGATAGTTTTCATGGTAGGATACAGCAGATCACTTCGTTGCAATGTGTTTGAAACCTTGCCCAACATTCAGTGAATCGGAATCCCGTCTGGCAGCCCCACCGAGGACCCAGCTCTCCAAGGTCTCTTGCCAACCCTGAGCCTGGTGCTCTGTCCTAGGTGGGCACGGACACAGGGACCCAACTCCCACCCTCTCAGGTCTCTCCTGCTCCAACCCGCGTACCAGGGAAGCGCCATTTTGGGTTTTTTGTTTTGTTTTGTTTCTGTCTTTTTGAGACAGGGTCTCACTATGCAGCTCAGGCTGGCCTTGAGCTCACTTTGTAGCCCAGGCTGGCCTCGAACTCACAACGATCCTTCTGCCTCAGCCTCCCGAGTGCTGGGATTACAGGCGTGCACCACCACGCCGAGCTCAGCTTCATATATTTCTATTGAACACTTCTAAATTAAGTGATTGCTAGGGATTTCTAAAAAAATATTAGTGTGAGTGGGATCCACCAATTCATAGCAGAGACGTTTATCAGTGAAGGCATTTTTATCCCCTCAGTGCAAGATCTATATGATGACAGTTCTACTGTTTTCTCAAAGTTCTGGCCTGTTAGATTACTGCTGTTTTCATAAGATCCTTGGGAAAAGGCATTTATTTCCTCATCAGAAAAAATTATCAGATTGATACTGCACTGCTCAGAAATGTGGGTCTGGTATAACGTGTTAAGAACAAGAAAGTACCAGCGTGACTCACGCGGGTTTCAGAGCAGACGGCGTGGTTCTGGGCAGTGGGCACTTACGCCGATCACCCACCTCTCCAAGAGAAGTGATCGTTTACAGCTCAGCAGTGCGAAGCCAAAGGGCACCCACGAGTTCGTTACATAATTCTCCTGAGCGTGCAGCCAAGTGTGTAGCTGCTCTGGGGCAGGGTCAGAGGCTGACAGGCACACCAAGGCGGTCAGAATGATGTTTTGACAAAAGTGTGTGCTAGAGGATGTTTGTTTGGAAAAAGACTGACCAGCCCCCTCCCCCTCCTTTTAACTGCTTGGGCATAATACTGAATGACTTTTGTTTTTAAGCTGCCTTAGCCTTGCTTTGATTTAAAAAAAAAGCCTGAGTATTCTTCCCCTGTAGAGCCCAAGTTGTTATTTTTGGAACAGAGGCTCTTAGCCTGATCTCTGTCTAAATCAATTTCTGCTCCTGGTAAGGCCATGGTCAGTGACAGCACAGCTCCCAGAGTCCTCTGTGGAGGATGGCATCCTTGCTTCCTTGGGCAATGATGTGGCAGCCCCAGAAATTTCCCTGTGCCGCTAGTTAGGTTGCGCCCCTGGGACAGCCATGACCACGTGGTGTGGAGTAGCGTGCTGACTGTGGGGTCATGGAAAATGCTTGCTTCATTGAGAGCCCACACTCCCAGGGGATTCCCTTCATGGATCTACTGCAGAAATACGGCCTTTCTTGCTTAAAAATACGCTTGGGGTCAAAATGACACTCCCCTCTCTTTTGAACCCAAGGTACATGATGTCACTGACTTCTCAGAGCTAACCAAGCCACAGATGGAGTTTTTCTTTTTTGAGACAAGATCTTGCTATGTAGCCCAGGCTGACCTTGAACTCAAGGCCCACCTGCCTCAGCCTCCTGAGGACGACAGGATAACGGGTGTGCGCCACCGTGCCTGGTGTTATAGCTGGAAGATTTCTGCAGGCTCCACAGGGCACTCCA